GAAAATATTCTCTTCAGACTCTGATTCTGATCTCAGTCATGTTTCAATTCATGAATTGATCACATCATGACGTTATCATGACTGAATTTAGTGCCTTGCTCTTAGTTTTTTTGCTTTTTGGTTGCTCTCTGCAGACAAACCCTCCTTCCTCATGTGACTCTAACAAGCAGACGCCTGACGTAGACGACCTGAGCTCACCTGATGCTTCCAGAGGTCTTCTAGTGTTTCACTGCTGCCATCCAGAGGCGAGGAGCTCTGCAGCTGCGCCTCCTGCAGGGCCTGAACAAACACACCGACCTGCCGTTAGAACTCTCTCGCTGCAGGTTGACAACACTTGAAGATAAACTCCCTCCACCGGCGGGCCTCACCTTGTTCAGCCGCCTGATCTCCTCGTGCTGATGCCGCCCTCTGCGGGTCAAAGCCACGTTCTGCACTCGCAGCTCTTCGGCTTCCTTCTCTGCTCTGAGCAGCTCACAGCTGACTTCTCCTGTCTGTGGACGAAAACATTCCCACGAGGAAGCCGTTAACCCAGAAACCACACGAATGAATCCATGGAAATGCCTGGGAGTGTGCTCGGTGCTTTTACCTGTGTGTTGTCTTCTGCCATCTTGAATTGGATCTTTTTATATAATGTGGCCTGTTTCTCTCCTTCTTCATAGTGTTGATGCTGCTGCAGGGCTTTCAAAGCCTGGACCTGGGATTCAAGTCAACACTGATGAGAAACAGAAGTAAAATAACAACTGGCAGGAGCTTAATATTCATAAATACATGATCGTTCTTACCTTTTCTTTGTAGTACCGCACCATGGTTCTGTACTCTTTAGCCCATCTCTCATTAATAGAAAGAAGCTGAACAAACAGAAAGTATCCTATTAGCACATGCGCGTGTTTTAGGATGAATATAAATCCTGCTTCTGGAATATACTCACTTCTTTCCTTTGCTCCTCCAAGAGAAGAATCTGTGCTTTCATCCTGACATCACTGCCGGGTGACGAACCCTCTGACTGAAGCACATTAAAAAAAAAAAAAAAGAAAAATGAAAAAGAGGAACCTCTTAAATGTGGCATGTAGAACATCCAGCAGCAGCCAAAATGCCCGTGACTTTATAGGCAATTATGCAATGTGACTGCATCCGCCGACTTCCTGTTATACGCTCTTGGAAGTTTTGATGTGTCCTGTTTCCAGTAACACAAAGCACGCGGACATTTCTTTGCGGTCAGAGGAATCAGACGGCCAAAACGTGAGAATGAATGTGTTGAAATTACCGGCGCGTCTTCTGGAAGACTCTCAGGCTGGAGCTCCGGGTGGAGGTCGGGTCCACTGGAGCCAACAGGCAAACAGAACTCATACCTGGAAGCAAATGATGAGCATGAGGACCCCAAAAACTTGATTCCAATCCTCAAAAAGCAGCAGTGCGTGATACTGACCTGTCTATGTTTGGCAGTGATGGATACAGTCTGTGGGCTGGTTTGGTGGCAGCAGGTTTGCTGGGCATCCTGTCCGCTGAGTTTTCAAGCAGAGACTGTTGGAACACAAAGGTAGAAACACTTTACATATAAGAGATGTTAAAGCTTCAGTGTGTCAGCGCAGCAGCGTGCACGTTGTCCTGCGGAGGCCTGGTGGTTTAGCAGGTTAAAGGTGTCAACCATGAGCCACAGCAGCCGCAGATCTTATCGCTTTCTTTCATTTTTAGTGGTTTCTCTGCCACAAGGATCAATTAAAAGTATAAATTCAAGGGTGAAGTGCGCTTTATTACCCCTGTAGGGTCGTTTGTCCTGCAGTTAGCGGCGCACTAAAGAGAAACACAGTGGTAGGTGATTATGCTGCACTCTAAAACCATACAATAGACAAAAAAAAAATGCTCCCAAATAAATAATAATAATAAAAAAATCGAAACAAGCTGGTGATAAAAACATGAGTTGACAAATCAATTAGATTATTCACCAAAAAAATAAATAAAATAATAATAATCAACCGCAAGTTTGATTAAAAATTAGGGGAAAATGGCAGAAATTCACTGATTCAACCTTAAAAGTGACAATCAGCTACTTTTTTATTTTTATTTTTCATTACTATTATTTTTTTTTGAACCAATAAATACTGCACAACCATTATGAACATATCATACTGGTATTTTTAATTTATTTAAATTAATTTTTTTGCATTAAATGATTCATCAATCAGAAAAAAACACATATCTAATGTATTAAGTGAACAATTATAATGACAATAATCAGGTTTTGCAGCCCACAAATCGTCTCACGGTACTTTTAGGGGGTTTCTTTGTGGAAAGACTTCAGTTTGCATGAAATGACAAAACGTGACAGCCGACTGAAACCCACAGAAAAGGTGAGAGGTGTCTTCACACGGTCATGTGATCTCCAGGTTGCACAGTCTGGCTTCTACTGTTCAACCAGTTCATTTATCAGACACCAGCAAGGAGCCAATGAGGAGAAAACAACCTGGATAAGTCATAATAAAAAAATATATAATAAAAAAATCTTAAATAAATTTAAAAAAAAAAATTATTTGGAAAAAAATGTCATATAAAATTAAATAAAAATACACCTCCTTGAACAACACATACAGTCTCTATCTTGTACCTGATATTGATTGAATTTCCCTTCTGGGATAAATAAAGTATTTTTCATTTCATTTCATATTGTGAATCCAGGTCAGAACATGAAGCTAAACGTCCACAGAAGCAGCTCTTTGGATCATATCAGTAGATCACAAACCTTCAGAAACTTGTTTGAACCCATGTTAAAGCAGTGGACTCACCATGCTGTGGCTCTGAGGCGTCCTCTCCGTCTACATCCACTGAGCTGACGGTGAGACGCTCTCTCGCGCCGCGTGCCGCTTTTTACGGAGGAACCCCCGTGACGTCATAAAACCAGCGCCGACCAATCAGCGGCCGGGATTCCCTCCGCGGGGCCGAGCTGTCGCGAGCGTCCGAGCCGCTGACGGAGGTTGTCGAAGGAAAGGAAAGTACGAGGAGTTGATCAACAGCTCGAGCGGTAAGAACCTGAGAGTTTATGGTACGAAGAGATGACTAAGAGAAAAATGTGCAGCAGAGAGAGAGAAAAATCACACACACCACAAATCTCTCTGTGTTTGTGGGTGAACAGGTGGGTGACGGTGCTTCATCGTTTCCTTGTAAGACTCACCTTTCAAGTCCAGTTTATAGTAAAGTCACTCTGTCAGCATTAATGTGATTAG